AAATACCTCGGTACATACAATGTTTTTCATCACGCTTTCGAAGTATTAATAATAACTCACACATTCAACATAGCCCCGCACTAGGGAAACCCCGTGTCGCGGATGCCTTTGACGGGTTGGACACACACATAGACAACCACAAATCACACCCAAACTCACGAGAGAAATAAATATAGGCCATATAAATATTTCTTCCGGTCAGAATCGAACCACTGCGTGATGCGTATGCCATGCGTATTCATTTTGTATAAAATAAAAACATTTCATTGAATTTGACCAACTTCTGCTGTCCCGATATTTTTCATGCCATACAATGAAATGATCTTTACATGAAACTGAGTTGATAAGCACTGAAAATAATTTGTTCAATTTTATTCATTTTTATGGACATCTCACATTTGACTAAATAATTGATTATGCCAATATATTAAATTTTTATTGAATCGATATTCAATTATTTTTTGTGAAATTACTCCACTAGTTTGTTGTAATTATTAATACAAAGATCGAACACTCAGAAAAAATTCCTTCGATCCGGCCGGATTCGAACCGACGTCTTCTAGCATACCGTGCCAGACGCTATACCAACTAAGCCACGGAACGAACCAGCGGACCTCACGAATTTTTCTATGTGCTTGCGCCAATATATTTTTATTCAATTAAAAGATAGTTTCATTACTTTATTTGTATCAGTTTTGTCATCTGTTAACTTATTTTTATCTCTACTAATGTCATATTAAACATATTAGAGCGTTTAATGATAAAATTTTAGATATTTCTAGTTTTATTTTTAAAATGTTATTGGCGATTTATTCATTAGGTAAAAGCTATTTCGATATCAATTTAAAGTTTTTTGATATCTCTTATATTTATAAAATAATCGCCTGGGCACTCTTAACGATTGCACTTTGTATATTGACTCGTTATAATCCCTTGATAAAAATATACTATTTTATAGTTTCTTTCCAAAACTTAAATTCCAATGTTTAAAAAAAGTTCTTTTTGAAATTGATAAAATTGCTTTATGATCAACGTTTCATTCAAATTGTGTTTAAAAGTTAAAGTCTCACTCGAGATTAACTTTTTAGCATGAAATAAATCTTAACGATATGTAATTAGGTGTAGAAAAGAAAGAAACAACATCAACTAAGTGCCTACTATACAATAAGAACTTATTATACCTATATTACTACCAGACTCGAAGTGTAAAGTCGAAGTGAACTTATTTTTTGAGTCATAATCGCGTATATTCTTATTTTTCAAACAGATCAACATTTCAAGCCCTTTACAGGTCCCTTGGTCACGGTATATCACCCCCGTAGTAACTGGAAACGTGGAAACAAATATACGTGATTTAAATCCGCAAAATAAATAGTTTCATTTGCTATGTGTAACAAACGCGAAAACTTAAGAACTCGGTAAAATCTAAGTAGATAAATGTTCAATTTTGCATATCAAATCTGTTATTTTTATAACAAAATTAATTTTTCCTGTTCATTAAGTGAAGGTTTGTATTGAGAACTATTGTTACATAAATTTTAACAATGATGTAGGTATGTACTTATTATATTACATTTTACACAAAACGCAGGTGTTTTAAAATACATGTTATCATCATGTGGATCGCGTTGGCAGTAATCGGCGACACGTCGCAGCGACGACGCCGCCGTTTAGTGTTGTTACTATTATAATTATATCGACATAAAAATAACACTGTATTTCACAATTAACGTTAATTGTGAAATACATATTGAACTAGCTGGTGCCCGCGACTTAGTCTGTGTATTCATTTTGGTTCTCCATACAAACTTTCATCCCCTTCCTCACTCCCTAAACATCTATTTTTGTGGCAAAAAGTACCCTAAGTCCTTCTCCTAGGTCTATACCAAACATCATCAGTGTTCGTTCAGCCGTTTAGGCGAGAAAACGTAATAGACAGAGTTAGGGTCGTATTCTAGAACTCTAATCAATGCTCAAGTCAGGATATGAGTATGGTTTAAAGCACTCGAAATCCTACTCAAGTCCCTGCCATTAGGGTCGTAATTCCAGTGCTTGTGTTTCAATTGCAATCCTGACTTGAGCATTGAGTAGAGTTCTAGACTATGACCCTTAGAGTCGTATTCTAGAACTCTACTCAATGCTCAAGTCAGGATTGCACTGGAAACACAAACACTGGAAATACGACCCTAATGGCAAGGACTTGTGTATGATTTTCAGTGCTCACTGCAATACTCAAGTCTTGACTTGAGCATTGAGTAGAGTTCTGGAATACGACTCTTAGTTTCGCATTTATAAAATTAGTATAGATATTTTCACCGACGGTTCATTTATTTAGTTTGTTAATAAAGAACTACTACTACCTACTTATTGTTGTTAATAAAGAACCAAGAACCAACTCTGAGTACTCCATTCTTACATTCGGTGTTTCCAACCTAATTACTGTAGTCATTTCGATGTCCTCGGCCTAATTACAGTACCTATTGTATGTTCTCGCTTTATACCCAATAACCTTAGAATAATAACGCATAGAATGATAGTTTCATAAAAAACGAACTGTCACAAGTGAGGCGAAAATCAAATTCATGTTGGCTAGTTTTAGTAGTAGGTTAATTTTCGGTTTTAGTGAATATTTATATAAAAATACAAGTTGAAACGCGTTACTTCCTTGTGGAATGTGATGTTAGTATCTATTTTACGTTTGTCTGACGTATTTTTACACTCATTTACCATTACATAACATTTACATAACATTTACATAACATTGAAATATGAAAACTTTATGATAAATTATTAATATGTCTAAATGGCATTAGAATAGCCAATGTAGTTTTCAGGTTATCACGACACAAATATTTTACGGAAACGGTAATTAACTCCTACCGTAATATTAATTCAATAACCGCATTGATACGGTAATTAGAAAGTTGAAACAACGGTAATTAGATCTAATTACCGTTTCCATAAAATATTTGTGTCTTAACAAAAAACTACTTTGTCTATTCTAGTGCCATTTAGACATATTGATAGTTTAACTTAAAGTTTTCATATTTCAGTGTTATTGGGTATAATCTTTAAGAAAAAACTGTCTATGGTAATTAGGCTGAGAACATCGAATGTGAGAATAGCCGAATAACAAAAAAATTGTATTGGTTTTGGTCAATGTATTGTTATTATTTTACGTCACACCATAAATATAATAAAATAATATTATACTCGTATATGTTTTCATCATGCAACTATAACTACCTAGTTGTTATCAATTTATTATTATTCGGTACATGGCCAAATAATTAATAAACATACTGTAACTTGTATATTTGACACATTTGTATAATTATTCACGTTCTCTTCGCGATTGAGTTGAATGCTCCTATTACCACACAGTCATAATTTCATCTCTGTTACATCACAGTTTGCATTTGAATGGACCTCCGCGGTGCATCTTGGAAGAAACCACCTAGGGTTATTTATGCGAATTAAGGGTACTAAGGAAAAAACTTCAATCTTGTTACGATTTTTACAATGTTTTTTACCTACTTGTGAAAAGTATTTTTTTTATAATATCAAGTGACGGGGCGAACTAGTCGTGTGTCTGGTGGTAAGCTACACGCATGTCTATACCAATAGGGGAAGCGAGGCAGTTTGATACAGGGGGCACTTTCGTACATCGCATTATCTCCATACCTTCAGACATAATATTAGTTGCGATAACACTGAGACTTGCCTTTGTACGTCGTAACGTGTGAGTAATAGACATACGATGATGCGGCTCACCAGTTAACCGTTGTTGTCACAAAATGCTTTCACGCTTTTGACTAAAAAAGTAAGCAACACAAATACGAGCGCCACTGTAGTTTTGTCCACTTTACAAGACCCATGTCTTAATACAAGGAAATTAGTATTTTCAATAACTACACTTGCATGTGACTTTGGAGTAAAACCTATATAAAGATTTTTTTTTCTAAACTGGCCGGGAACTTTTATATACTAGTAGGTGGGGCAGTTTAGTACGTATCAAAGTGCCCCTATTAGTTATTTTGTACAAAAAATGTAAAACTGTTTTAACAAGTTATTATTTACATACAAACCCAAAATTGACAAAATTCAAATTAATTATGAAGTCACTAATGAAATCAAGTCGGCATCGTCTGACGTCGCTGCGAATACTCTGTCCTTACGACAAGCAGCAAGTAACTACGAAAAAAATACGTAATGTTTCTAATTTATAGTTACAGATTTAAATCTGCAATTAAAAATGAAAGACAATTGCACACTTCAAAGTACACAGTTGTACAAGGTTTCACTGCTAAGCAGTAGAAGGCCTTTGTGCAGCAAGAAATTTCGTGTCTAACAAAACAAGAGTTCTTCTTTGACAATTGTGAAAGGGTACTGACGAAACACAAATGCATACCAGATAGCATTATAGTATCAGTAGAAAGAGGTGAACTAGTGACTTTTTAAGCTTGTCAGTTCTTCCTCCTTCTTATTTCCAAGAACACATTAGAAAAAAAATACAAATGGTGCCATAGAAAGAAGTCTTGGTCTAGAAAGAAGTGCTGAGGCAAATAATACGTGTCTCAGCACTTGCTACACCTAGTGTATTATACCCCATAGGTGGGGCAGAATTGAACAATTCCCATTTTTTGTAAAAATCTAAATTTTTTAATTATTCAATGCAAAAAAAGATGAAATTAGTAATGTTTTGTTAGTTATGTCATCAATTAGGCAAATGAAATATTCATTATATTATGTTCATTTAGTGGCTCAAAATTTAAATTAAAAAAAATGAACGAATCTGCCCCTCTTCCCCTTTCTGCTTGGCGGCAGAAATAGATAAGGTAGGCAGTACTTCTCTGGACTATTTATTTCCTATTCTATAAATCGATATTTTTTTGTTTTTATTTCGGCTTGCCTTAATGCTGGTATATCTCGTAAAGTAACAGGTCCGACATCAGACGCGTTTACGTTCTTACAGTCACCATTTGATAAGCGGTAACGGCTGAGCATACACCGATATGGCGACGGACACCGGTGTTTCGGTTAGTAACATATCAAATTATCAATTACTGTTACTGGTTTCAATGATGAACTTATATAAACATGACTTCGAAATTGTACTGCAACGTATTTGTAATGCTTGCGATCAGCGATGCCTCGCGAAGTTTCATTGTACACTTTGTTAATGTGTTTCCTTACAATGTATCCCACTATCTTGTTATTTCTCCTTATCACATAAAAGTTCCTAAACTGTTTTTAAATATATTACAACGAAAATTAGGCAACGCTCTAGTAATATTTTAAAGAACTCTTTGTCAACCAGTTTGTATTAAGTCCTAGTGCTAAACACCGGTCAGCTGTATAGATAGAGAGTTTAGTGCTAACTTAATGGTACTTACACAAGATGTTTCTAAGCCGACTTTGTTGACCTTTTGGTTCTGAGCACATAAATGTGTATTTAACAAATCTAATCTTTAACCTGTGAACCGTAAAATTCAAATGTGTTTGTAAGAAAGTTTTGAAACCAATTCGATCTTTAACGTATAATTATCACTTAAATGCAAAATACAGATTTCAACCTGCAACTGTAAAGCCGTCTCGTGGTCTAGCGGTTTAAGAATTGCTTTGCAAGTTAAGGCAGAGCACGATCCGAGTCACATAAAAAATTAAATATTATTTAGCTACGACTATATAATGTTGTAAATATGCTACTATATTGATATCGTTGTAAATAATATTTCATTTATTTACCTCTTGACAGGTGTAAGAAGTGTGTTAGAATATTAGATTCAGCTACTTTAAAAACACACGGTTTAAATAGCAATATACGGTGTCCGTGTCGAGATTCCGTATTATTGTGCAAGAAAGGCAAACATTCTCCTAGTTAAGCTTCTAAGGATTTGTAATTTACATACGTCGGCAGTTCATTCTAATTACGCATGCACTTCGACTTCATGGTGACTTCATTACTCGTGATTATATTGTGCATTTGTACAACACTTATATTGAGCTTTTTCAAGTCTGATGTCACAATAAATGTTTCAGTGGATGGAATGGCTGGTGTATACGGAGGACTTGAAGCAGTTATGGGGGGCGCAGCCCACCTACATTATATCCCAGGCCGTGTTTTTATTGGCTGGAATCGTCACTCTCATACATGGTAAGCTTTGCATGTTAGTTGTACCAAGCTTAAGTCTTCTTCTTATCTATAAGATAAACAAATAACAAGGCTTACGCCTCAATTTAAAGCTTTCAGAAAAGGAGGACGATGGCCATACTTTTGGCTAGGCACTGTGCTGCACGGACTCTACGCTGACAACTTTTGGCATATCGTAGTGCCTGAATTTGATAACTTCTGGCATTCACAGACTCCTGTTATGCTCTTCGGAGGCAGGATGCCACTCCACATCATGTTCTTATGTAAGCATGTTTCATATCATTTTTTTGTTATTATTATATTTGATTACAGTTAAGTTAATATTAATTGATGGCTCCGCTCGTCGCGTTTGATTTTGTTATACGTATAATTAACTGGCCGTGTTCAAGTATGTAATATTTGTTTTCTTTTCATACAGATCCGGCCTTCATATACCAAGCTGCCTACGCTGTTTCTAAGTTGAATCTTCCTAAGTACGCGGAACCCCTTGCGGTCGGCCTAGTCACTGTGTTGATCGATATCCCGTACGACATAGTAGCCGTAAAGTTTGTTCACTGGACCTGGCATGATACTGACCCTAACATCTTTGATCGTCATTATTGGGTGCCGTGGAACTCTTACTACTTCCATGCTACATTTGCCGCCAGCTTCTTCTTCTTCTTCGAAGCCAGTCGAAGATGGTTTGCTCCAAAGGTTGAAAAATGGGAATCAGCAGGGTACAAACATTATTGACATTAGTTACTAATTATTTATATTTAATTTTATAGTAACTTTGGGGTAAATATGTTATCGATTACAGCAAAGCAACAGAATTGAAGTCGATGTTTATAGCCGCGCTACTGGGCATGCCCGGCGGTGTCCTTATGTTCGTGCCCATCTACCACCCATTACACGACAACTACCAAGTCCACACTGAAATCACCGTTTTCACTCTCTTCGCCATTTTCTTCGTAATTATTCTTCGCGGTCTCTTGAGTGAACGAGAAAAGAACAAGACAAGGTAAACTTCAATCCAAATTAGTTTCCTAGTATTAGGTAATCCAAATACGTCCTAAAAAACTTTGAATAAAGCTTGATCTACTCCGAAGGTAGGTACTATTGATGCTTACGGGTAGTATAGCTTACCTATATATTTCTTTAATATTTAAAGATATGTCATTTTCTCGTAATTGTGGTTTTGGAGTAATCAAGGTATAGTGTCTTTTGTTTATTTATATTTTAAGTCTGATTTAGACGAGTGCATACTGTAATATTCTACGGAATATTAAGTATGAATAACGGAATACTCGTATAGACTTAAACGCCGCAAACGCAACTTATGTAAGTTGTGACAGATCTGTAGTCTGATAATACCTTGAAAAAATTAATAACTACAGTTGTGTAAATATTCAAAGACGTGTACAAAAGAGTAATCGCAATTTAGTGGAAGTTACAACTTAATAAATATAACGTAACCTTGACATGTGAAAACAAACGTTATCGTCTACATGGATACTAAATCACGTGTTTAGGTCACCATTAGGTACGTAGGTACTACTAAAGAGTGACACTTATATTGAAGCTCACGCTCAGATTGTTTCTACAAAATGCCCATTATCATTTTAAAACTTTTTTCGCTGCTGTCGGAATACCCCCCAACTGTTCTAGTTATTAACTATACTCAGGTAAAATGTAAGTCTTCTCAATTCCATGGTTCTCAAATAATTATTATTATGGATATCTATTTTAGACTCTCGGCTTTCCTATGGCCTAAATGTCCACGTGAAGGTGGTTTGTCCGTAACAGTTACAGTGTCATTCAGAACTTTAAATAAGAAAGATCTAAGGAGCACCGTCGTCGCGCCCTTCATTCTGAGACATAACTTGACAAGTACCATGTGCCAGTAATTTCACCAGCATCCTTAGCCTTCAAACCTGAATGCAGTAATGCTCATATTCTCGCTCGGTGGCATTTCTTCCCAGGACAAACTCTTTCACAAGAAGTTTTATTGCAACTAAAACTTATTACTATTTCTATTTACTCAATTATCTAGGTGCGGTTGGCAACACTTGAATATATTCGATCTGTCTTCCTTAGTTACAATTTTGTCCATTGATTGATTGTCACGACCCCGATACGATTTCTGATAAAAAAAAATTATGACCGGAACGAATCTTATGCGTAATCAATTGTTAAATATTTTTATTTTGAGGAATGCAAATCTTTAGGTTCTGAGCATTTTGAAAAGAGTTTTATTACGTAGTTATTAATTTGCTTCGTTTCTTGGCAAATTAAACATACTCAATAATAATTTATCGAAATTGTGACATTAATTTTGCTATGCTCTTTGGTAGACTTACTGCGATCGACTACATTCTGCTACTCCAGCTGGCAGTGCACTACCTCATCTATTGGATATTCGTAGCTTTCTTTGACCCTGAACGAGAATGGTCACTAGGATTTCACGAGCCTGTCGGTCCTTGCCACGAAGTATCTAGCCTCGTCACACCGTTTGGCCAAGTTAGTATAACTGATTATTTAAAAAAATATTCTTAACCTCTTCCAATTTCTGTACTTTTCGATATAAATAAGACAATTGATTCAGTTTTGTATGATATGGAAGTAAAAAATATTTGAAGACAAAGTTTTGTGATGCTAATGCAGAAAATTTTAATGTTAACGCTTAGTTTTAACGCCTTGAACCTATATTAATAATCTTTAACTAAACTGTGTGCCACAAGTGTAAGTTATGGATATATCCTAGGTCTCTGCGATACAAGTAAATACCTAAGTACCTATAGGTCCGCGAAAAATTACTAGTAATAGAATATAAATAGTGTAAATGCAAATTAATGTACCTAATCCTTTTTTGGTCAATATTTATTATTATTATTAAGAATACTGTGGCATGCATGGGTATTTATTTATTTTAATTTGTATGTATCTAGGTATGAATGATATGTAAATATTCTAAAAAATAATCACAATTGTTTTCAGACACTATATAAAAGAAAGTACTTGTGCTTGGATGATTACGACGAAGATTACTTCGATTTCCATTGCGTCAATAACCAGAGACCTGCGCCGGGATCGTCGTGGTACGTCATCTGTGGCACTCCTTTCACGTAAGTATCCCTTTTTATTAATTTGTAAAAAGACATTACATTCTCTAAGATGTGGATGAAGTCGTTGTCCACCATCCTGCCAAGAGCGACCTGGGGACATCAAATATCATCAAACTCTGAAATGAACTGCGCATAAATCCAATATACCCATACCTAAAAGCAAATAACTCGCACCTGTGTGTAGGAGCTACATACGGCGAAACTGTTCTGTTAACTAGGGGTTACTAGCGCTTTCCATTGGGTGAGATGGACGTCATATGCGCACTTATTTACTTATAACAAAGAGTTCTCAAGTTTTCGACATTGTTACACATAGGTAACGAAAAAATTTTTTTCGGTTCTAAGAACAGTTACATACGGTTAGTTTTAGTAGCGATGCTAACGCGATGCAATCGCTAATCGTCTACCTTTATATACACGCGCGATTTTAAGCAACGATGCAAGCGCGATTGCATCACTACACTTGGGATTTATCGCAGTCGCGCGTCTCTAAAACGTGGATGTTTGTTTTTTCAAACAAACCATTGTTTCGAGCCCTTTGCAGGCCCCATAGTCACACACAGTCGTCAGTTTGAAAAACAAACATACGCGAGTCTACCTCGCACATATTTGTGATCCGGAAAAAATAGTTTAATTTCCTGAGGAATCGTTGCTACTCGCTCTTTGCCGAACAAAAGACATCAACGGCAAAACGTTACCGGATAGCTTAACATGGTTATAATATAAAAGAGATCTGTATCAGTTATTAAAACAGTCACTTGTTTTGTCTTTTTCAGAAACCGAGTGGAGTATATTACAATTCTAACCGCGATCTTGATTACGGCTACAGGTGTTTTCTCCGCATTGTACTCCCAGAACACACCAGCGACACCTCCCAAAAAAGTAAAGACAAAATAAACCAAGTAGATGCACTAATTTATTTTTTGTATTGCGATGAGAAGTAATTTAATTCCTATTTTCTTTTTTAATTTATTGGTTCATGTGTATGACTCGTATTATATGTAACAAAAACCTTGATCATGTGTTTTAATATCCCCATTCATCAGGGTCGTCAATTCCACAAGCAATAAGAATTAAACAACCAATCACTTCCTATCTACACACACTAACCCTTTTTTTTTTTTTTTTTTTTTTTTACCGTCAGGAAATCCTCATGGATACCCTTCGCCCGGGGGAGACGAAGGGTTATGTCGGACTCCTACCGACTAAAACCTGACGGTGTTCCCTCTCTTCACCATGTGCCGGAGTCACGGGAGCGCTTTCGCATTCTTCCGTGACTCCGGTGGTGAGCGGTTCGACTGAGAGTCGAGCCCCGTCTCGCTTTCCAGGGAGAGATGTTACCTCCCCGTCAGCCGTCTTGAGAGGCGGACGTGGAACACGAACGCCGCCATCTCGGGCCCCCCAGTAACGAGCGGCAGTCTCACACACACTAACCCTATCACATACTAACCTAACCCAAGTTTCACTTTTGTAATGTCAACAACAACACTCCCTGACATCAATATTACCTTTTGAATTTTACCTACACATTTAAGACTTAACTCCTAAATAAACTACGCCTGTGCATTTTCAAAACATGGAAAAATATAGTTACTAAGATTATTTTCATAAAGAGAAGACGGTTACAAAAAGGTTTATGTTCATGTCCTAAGACCTAAGAGCGAATCAGCATAGAGTAAAAACAAACAAAACAAAAAACCGATCACAAAAGTCATTTATGGGGATAGTTAGCCACCCGAATGCTCTGACCCTGTGTACCCTCTTTCCAACAAAAAAAGAATCATCAAAATCGGTTCACAAACATGTCGTGTAACATACGTGCGAAAAAAAACACATGCAGTCGAATTGAGAACCTCCTCCTTTTTTTGAAGTCGGTTAAAAAGACGTCATCTGAATGGAAGTGAAACTCGCTTATATTATCAATTCCGCGTTAATAACCCCTTCACGCCAAACAAATATTCATTATGAATAATACAAAAAGGAGTCAAATCGGCTACACTGGCGTTGAGCCCTTGTGAGCGATGTATATAGCTTAACTAAATAATAACCGGCTGTTTTTAGCCAGGTTTCCAAGTGTAGCCACGGACTCCCGATTTTAACGCCACTGATATCGGCATTTAGTCGTACCAACAGGAAAACTTTAATAGCGCGATTTAGGCATTCTACACCTTGCGAAGAATTTTTGTATAAAAGATTTAATAAATTCCTCATGATAATATTTGCAAAGTCTATTATAGTGCATGTTTATTTACCAGTAAATTAAACGAGGTTTGTAAAGGTTTTCGGTATATTCGTTATGAAAAGGTTTCGGTAAACTACGTATGTCGCCATCTAGTAAATGTGATCCACATAATATCAAACCCAGACGCTAGGAGGCAACTAAAACGGCTTACAAAAACTCATTAGCTCGACAAATAAAGATTTATTTTATGATTGTGTACCATCCGTTATATTTCACGCTATTTAAACAATTTAAGATTTTGCAACACTACCTAAATAACAGGAATCTATATAAATTATTTAGACATCTTACTCATGACAGCATACAACTATGAAAAATAATTGACGGTCAGTAACGACAACGCATTTGGTATGGCAAACAAAATTTTTTATTAAAGAAATTAAAGAAATTTCACTTATTTAAATTTCTGTGAAAAGTGTGACACTGAAATATAGCCGCAACTTTATTTATATCCTAGAAACTATGTTCTGTCTAATTATCGATTGGAATCAGTAATAACGTTACGCTGATAAGGTCCTGTAGGTACGTACCTATATGCACATATGCAAATTCTTGTAAGGCCTATAGGTATATTCACGTATATACAATAAAACACATGTCGAAAGAGATAAAAAAGGGGCTTACGTATACCTAAATACTTTGTTCACCAAAATTATTTGACAAGAGCACAAAATCAATGAATGGGAGTTCAACTTACGGCAATACCACAATTGATCTTTTTGAGGTGCAAAAAGGAGTCAAATTGGCTATACCAGGGACTTGTGCCCGTGTGAGTGACTTTAAGGAAGTTAAACTACATAATAACCGACTCATGCTGGATGGGCAGGTTTTCAGGTGTAACCACGGACTCCCGATTCATAGCCTACTGGCGTCGGCATCTATTCACACCAAACAGGAAAATTTCAATAGCGGGATTCAGATATTTCTAACCGTACCTCATGTTTATGTGTAAAAACCTCTCAAATATTCTTCACGCTAATATGTCAAAGTTGTTATAGAGTATATATTAATTTACTTAATAAGTAAATTATAGTTTAAGATGCTTTTTGTAAATTATTTGTTTTATCGATTCAGCGAACAACATTATGTCGCCATCTAGTAAATATTATGTGACCTACAGATGTCAAAATTGTTAATCATCTTGGAGGGTGGGTGACTAAGTTTTAGTTACGCATCGTAAAAGCAAAGGTCAATTTCAATACCTGAGCTTGATTTTGATATCCTCTTTGGTTCTATTGTTTATAACAGAATTGCTAGTAGATATTAAAAAATAAATAATTAAAAAATTACACATACAAGGTAACAAAAATTACCAATAAAAATTACCTAGATTACCTAATTAGTGATCTGTATATCTATACTTGTAACCTCAAATGGTGATATTAACCGAAAGAGACAAAAAGTCAGGCATTTGTAGTGTCCACACTTTCAGCATTGAGTGGCGAAGATAAGAGTGCTAAGAGAACAAGGCTAGAATTATCTAAGAAATAATTTCCCTATAATAAGCACTTCAAAGATTATTGATATTCATAACTCTGAAATTCTGTGTAGACGATGTATATAATACGAGGGTAGGTCAAGGGTTGTAAGACAGCTACCTAACACAAAGTGTGTTCATTCTTGGTACCAACACTTTTGACCTCAAAATTCTCATTGCCAGTACACGACGAGGATTCAAATTATACTTCTCGGCCTTAATACACTTACGTAGGTGATTACGTAGGCTAGTCTAGGTAGGCTCCCATCATACAATAACGCAGTACCTATTGCAGAATACTACGATTTTGAATTAAGCATACAACGACGAACAGAGCAAGCGAATCTTTATCGTGAATAAAGCACCCATGTATGAACATTTTTTTGACGTTAGATGTGTACATAATACAATACTATATATAATATATTGTACATACGTACAACCACGCACAAAATTCTTTAGTTGCGGTAAGCGGTTCGCTGCCCCTTCCCCTATTCTAAAATTATAGCAATTGCCGGCACTGTTTTATGAGCACAGTAAAAATAAGGTTATTATTACCTACTTAGTTTGCGTACATTATGTATTTTATCTGACTTGGAAGCTAATTAATAAATAAACAAAGCAATCCTATAAGCCTGTGGGCTCTTTTTCCATGAAATACATTTATTAGAGGCAAATATTATTAACTATTTTACGTGTAAAAACCGTCGTGTAAAGAAGCATATTGCTTGGCATGCAGAGTACTTAAGACTTGACAGTCAACCAGAAAAATTTCACAGAAAAAGCGCCCTTCTGTGCAACAACTAGTATAGATTGAAAATTCTGTCAACACGCGAAAAATGTTTATTTAATATTATATAACATAGTTCATGTTCAGAAAATTTGCATAATTTCATTATATTTACGTATTTAGTGTAGATTATCATAGACTTAATGACGACTAATTATGTATGTTACGAAATTATTAAACAATTTAATGTGTATTGAAATCAAAATGTTGAAATGTATTGAAAGAATTAGTTATGCGAATGCGTGCTTATTGTAATGTATAAGTAGTAATAATAATAAAAAATCACGAAATAAATAAATACGTTATATTATCTAAATTTATTTAAGTATGTATATATTTTGACAAATTTGGTTCCATAAGGGACATCGAGTTTTATGGCTAATTTCATAGCGTTAAATATAAATCACTTTTAATGATATGTTCGTTTTTTAACTTTTAATCACAATAACACCCTTATTCTATTTTTACGAGACGAGAATTTAAGAAAATCATTCATATTAGTGCCAATCAAATTCACAAATCAATGAGACAACATTAAATTTAAATACTTTGCCAGCTAAGAGTCATACTCTTTAAATCATCGAGGCGTTTGAACGAAACATTGAAGGTCAAGGGAGCAGTGCAACCATTACGTATGCGATAACAATACGTCGCCGTATATTAGAATTTAAATAAATAGGCATCCACAATCTTGCGCAAAACTACATTCAAGAATACAGGTTGATCAAATCAAGGATCCACATACTTTTGCTATAGCAGAACGCTCCGCGCGGGATTGCGAATCATCTGTTTAAAGGTAAAACCTCATAAGTGATATTTCTACAAAAAGTCTTTATATAGCTATGGTAAGAAAATCACTATCTTTCTGCAGGTGAAACTCAATAACAAGAAAGCTATAAACTCAATTAGTGATTTTATTTGCAGAATGATGGTGATTTTCTTACAACAAGTACATAAATTGGAGATTTTTTGTGGATTTGTGGAATGCCACTTATGTGGTTTTACCTTTAAGCAGACGAAATGATGATTGTTACTTGTACAGACACTCCGCTTGCATTGTCCCCTTTATGACTACACGCGCAAATAAATTAAATGTCAAAGCCTATTATTGCTTCAAAGCACAAACCACAATCACTAATAAAAAGCGAAGCCGAGATTTTTTTGTCTCTTGTTGCCTATATTTAAAATGTATTGCTGATTACGCGTAGTACATGCTGTATAATTTTTAATACATAATTACCCTTAAATACGCAGCCAATACTCGCTTGTTACGATTTTATACAGGCTGAAACTTACTGACTAACGTAGTATATCACGACAAAAAATTAAAGTAAACAAATATAAAGTCAATAATAATTTTATGTTTCATCAATATTACTCAGGTCTTACAAACTAAATGTGCATCACAATAAGTGCAACTCGATTTTAGAGAACCCCTACGTTTTTTATAAGCGTTATAATATCGATGAACTACAACAAACATTCTATTCGTATATATACATACTCGTATAATGTATACGAGTATATATTAGTACTTACTACATATACATAAGTTATACATTAAAAGGATTTTGTGCGTAACGAAACCAAATACAAATAAAATATCACAACTTATAACTTGAACAAATCTGCTATATACATATACACCACTACGTACGTCTATGAGGTTCGTTGAAGGCAGTGACACCTTGGAAGCAAACTAAGTTTTTGTATTCCATGCAAGTATAAAGTACCTATTCCTGTTAGTGTGTAGGAATGCTGTTGTGTTAAAATAAACGAAAATGGTATTATGCACTATGATTCTATTAGCAGTTCACCTAATGGCTTACTTGCTGTCCATGTAAAGGCGTCCCAATAGGAACGCAAATTTTATTACGGGCCACATGCTTTTTTGTCTCTGAACTGTCTCTGTACAATTATGTTCAAAATGGTAGCGGACGTTTGGTGAATATTTTGTTTCAAAACTATTGCATAATGTTCTGAAATAAATGTATTATAGATATTTAGCTGACCCAAAATAAGTACCTAACGATTTATATAAATATTTAAATATGCGCTACCGATGGGAGTATGAGACAACCTTTATAAATAAAATATTAATAAAATTTAGTTTATAAAAAAAGGCAAGTATATATTATTATAAATTTTGTCACCATGGTAGGAGCCGAGTCTATATGAATATAAATGATTTTTCTCTTATTTACAAGAAGTGAACCTACACTAATTTACACATTTGTGTTGTTTATATTTTCAAGACATCGGAAAATAAACCGCACAAGCCGCCTATAGGTACAATTTGGCAAACACATAAGGCAGAGAAAAAATCTGAAATCCTGCTTAACTACTTATAAAAATATATTAATTACATAATCGAAAACGTCTTAATTGCACACTACACTATGATAATATAAAACCAAAAGCTGTTGCCTAACCTAACCTAATTTATTATCTAAATAAATAAAAAAATAGGAATGACGATACGGGAATTATAGGTACATTATATTTCGAGTAGGTATTGTTACAAAATGGCTCTACTTAGAATGGACAGTAGTAAAAAGCATTAAACTCTGCCTGATTCACTCATAAAAAACAAAGTAAACATTTAGATACACTTGACCTACTTAAAAGTAATGTAACAGTTACAGTAATTAGCCAAACTACAGCAATTAACAACTGCAAAACAAATAGAAATACGTCATTAGAAGTTGTTCCCATCACTAATGACGTATTTCTGTTATTCTTTAAAACAAAATGTCACACGTTTATGTGATCGCTCCCTTAAGGTTATTTCAGTTATATTCGCAGAGGTTATTTTCTGTGGTTTGACCTATTACTAAAGCTGCTACTGCACTCAAGCTTTCCAAATTAATACAAGTTTTTAATACAAATCCTTGTAACAATAATCTATTAATCATGAGGTACTGATTGTATATAGTATTCGTGAATATAATACATTATTCGTTTAATTCTCAATACAATGCGTTAATTAGTCAGCATTCAAACTAAATATATATTAAAGTTCTTTCGACATATTTGTATATTTACGATACGTACACATCCTTGCAATCTTATTCAGTTTTTTCCCGGTGCCCCTAACATTTATAACACCACAGTTGTTCCTATATTTAATAGTTATAGAGGTTAAATACCATTAAATAATTTACGACACATTGGGTCTAGATATTTTATGCTCTCTATATTTGCCTTCTATAGCTAAGTACATAATATAACTATTATTTTAGAAAGACCTATTATATATATTTTAAGGGCCATTCATAAAATAATATATTTTACTCAAACAGCAACTAAACGGACGGACGGCAGCAAAATAAGATCCTGAAGTGTGGATACGAACGAAGATATAGCAAAAAACATAATTTGATAAAAGGTCCCCTCAATTGTACGACAACTTTATTGAGGGCGGCTCTTGAATAGCTCATCAACAACCGACGGATCGGCCAAAGTCGAGGTATCGCCGATATCGTGGTCGCCTAAGGCAATCTTCCTGAGGATTCTTCTCATAATTTTGCCAGATCTGGTTTTTGGGAGCCCTGGGGCATATTGTATAACATCAGGCGCGGCGAATGCCCCAATCCGTTGTCGGACTAGTTTCTTAAGCGAATCGACCAGATTGGTGTCAAATTTGGCCCCGTCATTGAGGATGACGAAGCAATAAAGAGATTCTCCTTTGACAGGATGTGGTCGGGAGACGACAGCGGCTTCGGAGACCCTGGGCTCCTCGGTGAGCACGCCTTCCACCTCAGCCGTGGACATGAGATGGCCGGATACGTTCAGCATGTCATCAATGCGGCCGGTTACCCACAGGAAACCGTCTTCATCCCGCCTGGCACCTAAGACACAGTATATAGCATATATGTATTATACCAATTCACACTTAACCCGCCACACACGGTGATACACGGAGACACACGGTGTCCCTAACGACTTTGGTGGCTCTAGAACGCTCGAACGTTATAACGAACGAGCATTCTAGTCTAAGTTAGACTCAGCAATAATCTGATCTCATGTAAAATAAAACAACATCAGATGTCATTTCCCGGAATGTGTACCTATTATCTTTTGTTTCTGTTATGTTATTAGGTCATCATAATGGCTCCATATAATTCAAAGACAACATTTTTAAGATCAATTTACTTAACACTTTTGATAATTATTTTTCCGTCAGGAGTGGAGGTCAAATGCAACACGCGGGGACCCAATTTTATTTCATTTAGCCCTAATCCCATTTATCAAGCCTATTAAAGTTCATAAAATGGCTGAAAAATTAACGACCTCTGAAAATAACCTTAAACAGTTCGATTCTCGGTTGAAACAATTTAGAAAGCGCACAGAATATCAGTATTTATTAGTAATTACAGGTCTTCTCTAGGTTGAAACCGACTTGTGTAATTGTTTGTCTAACATTATTTTTATATTCGATAACTTACCATCGCCAGTGCAATAGTAGCCCGGAAACTTGGAGAAGTAGACCTTTTCGTACCGATCATGGTCTCCGAACAGCGTCCTCATGATGCCGGGCCATGGGCGGGCGAACACCAAGTAGCCCTCACCTGGACCTTCGATCGGCTTTCCGTTCTCATCCAACAAGGTCGGCTCGACGCCAAAGAATGGGAAACCCTAATCAGATAAAAGATCATTAAATTAAGAAAACACAATCAATGTCATTATCAGCTAACTTTGTGTAAATAGAATATACTATATCAAAATGATGACATCCCATTAATAAGCACAGGTTTTCAAGGGCATAGTAAAGGAAATAGTCCGCCAGGACGATCCAATCCTGGTTGGATACTTCTTTACACATCTTCTAAGACATGAATATTTCAAAAAACATGCGTTCTTCTATCGAAGCTTTCACAGTATTTTATTAATAACAATAAGCCTAGTTAATAAAATTTCACGACCACTGGTCCGTTTTGGCGTAGTTACCATAACTACTCGTAAGTATGTTGTGCATTGATAGTATTGTAATTTAATTACATGAAAGTTAATTAAGTTTCTAATTAAGTTACTGATCTGTATACACCAATATTGGCCGTCAATGTGAATAAAATTCAGTGTCCACTCCAGACTCCATTAAAATTTAACTATTAGATATTAATAATAACGCCACGTAATGTACCTAAGTACTTAATACCATGTATGTTGTGTATGTATGTATGTGTGTTCACTATTTTATGGAACTATACAATGTACTGTATATTTAATGAGCTTGTTATGTGTATGTATTGTGTAAGTTTCAAGTTATTGAATAAAATAAAAAATTATGAACTTTTCTATTTTTTGACTATTGCACGTTGTGTTGTTTATGTCATTAGGTATGTCATCGCCCTCACAGATCATATAAATATTGAATCTTAACATTTTTATTAGGTTGACCATAATTATTAAAACTGAAACAACATAACATACTTAATTTTTAAAGTATTTAATGTCAGGAAATTATTTTCCAGCCATTTGCTTATATGAACCATCCCTTTCTCAACACTAATCCTGACTTCATTCCAGGAAATCATGAGAAAAGAACAGCTGTATCGTAGAAAAAAAACATTAACACTATTTTATGTTGCATAGGTATGTCTTTTATCAAGAATAACCGTAGGACTCAAAACGCTTCCTTTAGCAAAACCGTACGTTACAGCCAAATCTTCTCTGATATACTGTTCAATTTTATTTGTGGAAGTGTTCCTCTGATTCCTATTTCCTTTATTTTAATAATGTTGTGAATACGTGCTCTGTAAAGGCTTTTTTAAACAAAAAAAAACACTGACGAACATTTACTTCCTACATCAAGTTGATCTGTTACAAACGAACGTAATGCGGTAATGTAAAAAATACATCTTCGGCAATTTACCTCGTCTAAAGTCCAATTATGTAGGAGATAATATATCACAATCGTTAAAATATTTTTAGTACTCGGATATTTATTACGTTTTCTAATATTTTAGATGTAACAGATAAAACTGAGTATGGGAAACTTATTTTCTCTGGGTCTATAAAACCTAAAGTCGGTGTTAATACTCTTCAAAATAGACACATACACTTTCTTTTTGGAAAGGTAAATCTTATTACAGACCTGAAATTTGGTACATAAATATTTACCTTATTATACGCAGACAAAATGGTGAACACAAGCTATCTTGTATAAACATCAATAAAAACATGTTCATAACATTTACACAAAATAAACCACGGCAAACTTACAGCAGAACCTGGTTTCATTGGGGTCGCACCCGGCAAACTTGTGAGCACGTGGCCACCAGTCTCTGTCTGCCAGAAGGTGTCCACTATAGAGCAGCGTCCGCTGCCCACCAAACTGTAGTACCAGAGCCACGCTTCAGGGTTGATCGGCTCACCCACGCTGCCCAGCACCCGCAGGCTCTTCACATCATTCCTGTGGCATAGAGATAATATTTTCTACAACATTATTTTTATTAATTTCGAAACTTTTGTTCTATCATTTTTAAAAACTTGGTAATTTTTTATTTGATTCTCAAACAAATAGATGGAACAGCTGATCATGTACAAGTTTTGTATAAAAAGAACGAAAAAAATTGGTTGTTCCATAAGTTCCATTGCATATCCTTTAGAGGGATAGTAGCAATGTTATTAGTGGCATTTTTAAAATCGGATTTTAAATGTATAAAGTTACTAAATTGCCAAAAACAAGGTGCAGAAACTCATTTTAACCGTTTCTGCTGTATTCAACTCTGGAAATAACCATTTGTGACCTCTGCACTGCTGCTAAATCAGATCTGTGTCCACTATCTAAATCCCCAAAAAAGTCTTTATTTACTTACAGAGTCAAAGAATACGAAAACTGTAACAACTGCACTGCATACTCGTACATTATAAATATTATAATAGGCTCATGGATGCTATAAAATGCAAATATCAGAAGTACTAGTAGGCACATATATATATTCAACAAGAATATGTGTATTGAATAAGAACTGTCACGACATGTACAAGTGGTTAAGTACATTTAAATTGTTAGTACTTAAGTGCTTTAACCTACTTTGTCTATCCATTTTATGGCATACGCGGTGAATTTTAGTTGTAATGCATGATTATATATAAAAAATAACTATCCAAGCTGACGCGTGACATAACAATATCAAACAAATTAATCTTTTTCAGATTTAAAAACTCAAGAAACTACTCAGACAAAATGTAGT